AAGTGCATTCCAGGCACAGAGAACAGCATATGCAAAGGTACAAATATTGGAAATAAGTTTGGGGAGTTTTGGAGAACTCAATATGTAAATCTGAGAGTCGTTTGCATCAACCTGGGAGTTCCTGAGATCACCATGAGGAAGGATCTTGAGTAAAGTACAGAATGTGGATGTCAAACCAGCCAAGGAGACTGAGAGAGATCTCAGGCAGGAAGAGAACCACAACAGAAGTGTTATAAAAACCCAGGGAGGAGAAAAGATCCAGGAGGATAGGGAATTAACAAGAAAGAACAAGAAGATGGAGAACTGAGAAAAGGATGGCCTTACTGAGTGCAGCTTCAGGAGAATGGTAGGGAACAGAAAGCCAAATTGCAAGGAGTTAAGAAGTGAGTGGAAGGTGAGAAAGGGGAGGCAACTGAGTGTAGAGTTTTCTTTCCTAAAAGAGTGAATGTGAAAAGGTAGAAGAAATACAGAAGACAGCTTGAGAGATTCAAGTGAAAGTTTTTTATTTTTAAGACTGGTGGGGAATTTTGTCTTGTTTGTAGGCAGCAAAGAAGGAGCCAGCGGATAAGAAGAGATTTAAAATCAGGGATAAAGTGGGAATAATTGAAGGGGCAAATTCCAGGAAAGGATAGGATCAAGGGCATAATGGTGTTGGCACTGACAAGGAAAGGAGACCTCTTCATCATGGACTGAAGCACAAGAGGAGAGAAGAGGAAATGACGCTAATGTGATCTGAAGTGGGGAACTTGGGAGAAGAGGAGGCTTACAATGGATGGCCTACATTTTTTCAGTGAAGTATTAGGTAAGGTACTCTGCAGAGAAGAAAGAGGAAAGGGGAAAGTGGAAGAGTACATGGCTTCAGGAGAGAAGAGAAAGTATGGAACATCTCCAGTAGAAAAGACCACGGAGTCGATCAAAGAAAAGTCTATTTACTGAAGTGCAGAAGTGAGGAACCAGTTTGGAACAGATAACACATTTGTAGTGGACTCAATCAACATGGCGTATGACTTTCTAGATGTTCATTATGAGTGGAAAAGGTAGATGGATGAGGAATCTAGGACTACAGCAAGAAAAGGAATAAGTGTTGAGGTAATGACAATGATAGTAATAATGACCTCATAGTATTTTTAAGGTCTACAAAGTGCTTTATAAATATTTTCTCATTTAGCCTCACAACAACCCTACTAAGCAGGTGCTGTTATTATCCTCATTTGACAGATGATGAAATAGAGGCAAAGGGTTAAATGACTTGCTCAGGGTCACACAGCAGAACAACAGGGCCAAAGGGTCAAGGACAACATAAATCTGAACTGGATGACTAAAATGGACATTTTTGAGGTAGAAAAGTAAGGCCAGAGCAGGGTAAAGTAGGGAGGGGTCAAGTGCCTGGAGATTGAAATGAGGACATACAACGATTTTAAGAGGAGTGAGGCATAAAAAGAGCTAAAAGGACAGAAAGTTATGTCTGACTAGCCATTGGAATTTCAGAATTATAGACTGTGAGGATGATGAGTTCAAGGGTAACATCATCCCTTCATACTGCTGGGGTGGAGTAAAAGTATAGATAACAGTAGCTGAGGATGATAATAAACTAGAAAGTAAGGAAATATGAGGGGATTTAACAAATCCCCAAGTAAAAGGACAGTGTTTAGTGTGGAGAGAGAGACTGTGAGCCACATAGAGCACTCCTAGAGAACAGAACGACCTTGGGGCTAGCAGGTCAGAGCCATCAGGATATGACGGGATGAAATATCTGAAAGGAGTGAACCTTAAAGCAGGAGAGGTTGCTGAGTCAAAGTGGCAGGGGGAGGGCCTGGGTGCTAGTGAGGAGCAAGAAGTATGTCTCTTTTTCTTCCTGGCCCCATGTATGCATCAGGGCATGAGAAAAGGTGCACCAAGTACTGGAGAGGATTGCTAGAGATAAAGTGTTATGAGGGGATAGTCAGTTTTCTGTGACTGCAAAGAGATGGAAATCGCATGAAAGGAAGAGGTCCAACATGAAAGGGAGTTGGTTAAAAATAGAAGGAGGTTTGTACAAGGTACAGTGGAAGCAGAGGGTAGAGCTGGATAGAGACCTGAGAGGAATAGGGCTGACATGGATGGATATGAAGAATATCTATCCATCCAGGGCCTGGTGGCCAGGAAAGAGAGCTTTGGTCTAAGTTATCTATGACTCAGAATGCCAGGAATTCTTGAGTCACAGGGGAGCCACAAAGCAGTTAAGATTGTTATGAGCTTCCCAAAGGCAACAGCAATGTCAATTTGATTACTGTGTCCTAAGTAAGACACTAAGCAGTGTCTTAAGCTCCCTAAGCAGGGAGCTACTGAAGTTTCTTGAGCAAAGGAGTGACACGCTCTTGTGCGTTCAGATGATTATTTTTGTTGAGGCAGTCAGGGTCACAGAGCTAGTAAATATCTGATGCTGGACTTGAGCTCAGGTCCTCCTGATTCCAGGGCTGGTGCTCTAACCACTGTGCCACCTAGCTGCCCCTAGAAGATTATTTTGGCAGTTGTGTGGAAGGTGTATAGATTGGAGAAGAGAGATTAAATACTAGTAATCTAATTAGGAGGCTGTTGCAATAGGCTTGATGAGACTCAACTAGGGTCACAGATGCGTAGTGGAAAAGGGACAGACATCAGATACATCGGAGTGGAATAAAGAATCAGTAAATGAATTAAGGCTCTGAGAACTCAGTGGGGACAGAACTTATACAGAGGTGTGGACATTCTAATACTTTCTCAGTCACATGGACATTCTAATACTTTCTCAGATCCATTACTGCTAGTCTCTCTTTTTATCCCTCCCCATGTTTTTCTATTTTGGGGAATGGGTAGAGGCAGTAGTGAGGATGAAATTTCATTAAAGTACACTTATTTCAGATGAAATTACACAGACACTCGAGGTTTGGGGGCCTGGAAATCCTGTCTAAAGATCAGCCATAATAGAAGTCATAAAAAAAGAAAAGACAGAAAGTGACAGACACACACAGAAAGATGCCTAAACACACCCATGAAATTAAATGAAAGACACATATGAATGCACACAGAAAAACATACATACTGAGTCTTTGTGAGTGAGATGAGGCAAGCCCAAGTGAAAAAGGCAGTGACAGTGCTAGAAAGAGACAGCAGAGAAAAACTAACAGACTGAAACTCCTGACTAACAGACATGCACATGAAGGAGGGAAGCTCACTGACAGGAAGGAATCACAGATTCTCAGAGCTGGAAGAGCCCTCATAGGCGATCTAATACAATACCTAACAGGGACCCTCTCTACAACATCCCTCAATGGTCAATTAAGTCTCCACTTGAAGACCTCACCCGGGGAATTCACTACCTTCCAAGGTAGCCAGATCCACTTTTAGTTAGTTCTAATTGTTAATTTTTCCTTATATTGAGTGCTAATTGTGCTAGAACTAAGAAAATAAGTCTAGAGGATTTTAGGTATTCCAACTCTGGGCTACCTGCTGCCTGCAAAGGGGACAACAGTTCCTAAGAACTGCTTTTAAGTACCTGGAGAAGATATACATGACAACTTCATCCCTCTAAGACCAAGTTTCACTTTGAAGGAAATACGTTCTTAGCATGGAGAAGATGGAAGGAGTGGAAAGCCTGGTAGATGAAAAGTAAAGTACAGCAAAGGAGATGTAGGTAGCTAGGTGGCCCAGTGGCGGAGCATTGCACCTGGAGTCAGGAAGAAGACCTGAGTGTGAATCCTGCCTCAGAAACACCCTAGCTGCGTGGCCCTGGGCAAGTCACTTAACCCCTCTCAGCCTCAGTTTCCTTATCTGCATAATGACAGTAACTACAGCACCTCCCAGGATTTTTCTGAGGATCAAATGAGATAACACAGATAAAGCTCTGTATAAATGCTAGCAGATATAAGGACATCTCAACCCAGAGAGAAAACTCTGGCAGAATACTGCAGGATCTTGACCCCAGGTGATGATCTTAGTTGTAAGACTCAGTTCAAACACTAGGCACATGGTGGATCTGTTAATTGTTTTGAGTTGAAGAGCTCTCAGAGCCTCTATGTTAAACAGTGTGCACAGGATCCTAATTATATCCTAACAGAATCCTAGATTATCCTAAGAGGGGACAGAGTTCTCCCCCTCATTTGACAGATGAGGAAGCTGAGGAACAGGGAGCTGAAGGGATTCCACAGGTGGAATCTGTGGTGGGATCTGAACCCAGGTCTTCCTGATCCCAAGTCCGAGATTCTATCCTTAAGCTAGGCTGCTTTTCTGTCATGCTAAGATAAATACAAAAGTGGCCATGCCACAAAGGACCTCCCATTCTACTGGGGATGAAGGGGACACAGGTAAGTAAATGTGGCACAAAAACAAACAAATAAATGAGAGAACAAACAAGCACAGGAATAAATAAATAGCCTGTGCAAAAGGACAGAGACAGGAAATAGAATGCCCAATCTGGGGGACACTAGGCAGCGCAGGACCAAGCTGTTCCTTGGCTCTTCAGTTAGTGCTCTCCAGTTAATGTCAGGCTCATTCACATGCCAGGAGCTACCAATGTCCCACAGCTCAACCAAAGGGGGGAGGCCCTGAGAAAACACTTGGTGCTGCAGTGTTCTCTCTTAGAGCTGTTCTGGAAGACCTGAGGCGCTGTCTCCTTATCTCCCCCACATAGACACAGTCTGAGGCTCAGTCAGGCCAAGGTGGGAGTACAGTGTTCCTTTCAAGCACTAAATTTGGATACAATGTGCAAATTGCCATCCTGATGTGAAAGGGGAGGGGGACGAGGGAAAAAGATGGAATAACGGATGGAAAGGAGGAACCTCTTCTTTCAGCCTAAAGGGAGAAATAAGGCAGCAGGAAAAACCAGGCTGCGGGCTCTCTGTCCAACCCTCCCCACTCCCCCTACACAAAGAGGAAGAGGAATAGCATTTTTCCAAATAATGATCCTTCCTGCCGCCCACAGTACCAACTGTACTTTCACAGCCTGCCTCAAACAGAGCCTCTGACACTAAGCGGTGACTCACCTGTGAGATCATGTGATTACTCAAGGGTGGCTGTTGCTGGGGTGTGGGTGGGAGAGCTGGATGCTGCTGCTGCTGCTGCTGCTGCTGCTGCTGCTGCTGGGTAGTACAAGGGAGAAGGCCCCGGACAGGCTGGGATGAGGTGACCTGGTTGCACACTTCTGGGGCACCTAGTGCTAAACCTAAAGCACAGATGAGACACAAAGCAATGAACACAAACTAATCCTGCCATAGCTCTGTCCTCCTCATCCATCAACCCCACTGTCTCCCCATCCCTCCCTCAAATATCTCTGCAATGGCACAGATTCACTTCAGTTCACCTGCTGATGGGAGCGATCACTCACCTCCCAGAGGAGGGGAACTGCTCTGTCATCAGTGTGTGGTTCTGAGATTGAACCAGATGTGAAGCTGGTGGGTAATGTCAAGAGCAATTAGGCAGCCTCAGAACATAAGTGCCATTCCCTCCCATGTCCAGGGAAGGATTGCAATGTATTACCCAGGCTTCTGGTCCCACGAGAGCCCTGGCTTCTCTTGGGTTTCCTTTCTACCATCAAGTATGTTTAAAGAAACGCTGAGAAGGCAAGTCTGCTCCTCTTGGTACATTTATGTGTACAACCCCTCCCCTCCAAATTCTCTTTCCCCATTTCAGATTAGCTCACATTGGCAAGACAAGGGCCTAGGCAGAAGCTCTTCCAAGACAGCAGATTTCAATGGTAGACTTTTTAATACTGTGAATCTAAGCTAGAAACAAGACCTGGAGAACAAACTTCAGGCCATAGTTGACCAACTTTCCGGAGATGATTAGGTATCAGGGGAAACAGTGGGTAGTAAAGGTTAAAACTCTTAGTTTATATGCTCAACAGACATAGGGAGAAGAGAAGGCAGGAGAATGTGTAACAGTGGAGGAAAAAGCCATGGGCCCCTTTATGACCATGGCCTGCACAGTAGGTGTTGGGGGTACACAAGAGAAATTTCCTTCTTCCTAATGGTCAGGACTCCAAGGGACATGAATGCTTGGGCTCCCTGAAGTCCTATAACAGCTCTATTTCTTCCAATCAGTCACAAGGTACACAGCTAAGATTGTTGCCATCCCTGTTCTACGTAGCCACTATCATCTCAGGGCTCACAAGAGAAACACACGTTAAGTGACAGAGAAGACACCCAAAACCAGCTCTCCTACATAGCTTGGTTTATAAGCTAAACCGTGGACTAGCAGAGGTGCTCCTCCTCAGTCGGGACAGCAGATAAAGTGACAGGGCCTAATAAGGCAGTGGGATTCATCACATGACTGGGGTCTGATGGAAATCAGGCAGTGGGCTTTAAAGTAAAGGGAATGCCTCTTCTGTCCCTGCTGTTAGGTTTTCAAGACTGGACCCACTGTTCTGTTGTAGGCAGATGCTAGGGATGGTTTTCAGAAGAGCTGGCTTTGATGCAGAAGCTTAGGGAAGGGTGGCTGTAGTACCTGGCCTGGAGATTCTTCCTGCACTCCCTCCTTTATTGCTCCCAATGCTGTCACCCCGGGTGAGAATGGAGATCCCACTGAAGCTGCTGGCTTTGGTAACAGGTGGCCGCATACTACGGACAGAGCCATCTGAGTCTGTGCTGCTCCAGGGCCGGGGCTCCAGGGATTTGATCTCGCTGTCTGTGCTGCTCTGGCGGCTGCTCGAGGTACGGCTCAGCCCCTCACGGTTCCCCCTGCAGAGACCACAGTGGTCAGAATGCCCCCCACCCCACCACCTTGACATAAGAGCTAGGGGAGAGCTTATTTCTGTTCTTTTTGAGAACAATGAAGACGGGCACATTGATTTCCTGTTAGCTGGCCAGCTGATTGAGGCTTGATGGGAGCAGACAGAACAAGACCAAGAGTGGCAACAAAGAGCAGAAGGGCAAATCTGGGAGAGAGAGAGAGAACTGGTGACTGATCTAACAGAAGTGGCTGGGATACAACACAAACCCCAGAGACTAGCTTTAACCTCTTGTCTCCTTCTGGAAATGCCCATATGGAGGAACAGATGGGCTAGTGGACCAGGGGAAGAGCTCTCCTGTCTGCAAGTGGACCAGTCACAACGATGCGAAAGAGTAAAGTTCTAGCAAGTTCCCTGTGTAACTCCCAGATCCAAAACCCGGCAAAGGTCCAGATCATGACCATTTCTGAGGGGTTGGGGAGGTGCCTATTGGTCTGGCACTGGGGGACCTGGCCCAGCCTACTTAATAGCATCTACTATCTATGGAGATTTGGGCACAATTGGTTCCAAAGACTTCCAGCCAAGTAGAATCAAACAAACTTCTCTCTGGGACTCAGAACAAGGAGAGGAAACACTGTGCCTACTTCCTCCATGTTCATGCACATCACTATACCCCCAGTCAAAAGAACAAGGACAGTTATGGGGGGGAAAGGTATTTTTTTTGTTGTTCTACTTTAAATGACAGAAAGAGCAGGGCTTTCTTGCCAATCTAAAATGTTAAGTTTAGATTGAAAAGCCTAATTCCTACTGACCTCCCAACCACTGAAGGTCCCCTATCATTAGGCTATCAAGTGCCAGGGATTTTCTTCTCATCATCAATAGCATATCTGAATTGGAGATAAGAGATAATAAGAGCAAATGGGAGGGCATTTGTCCTCAACCAAAATATACAGCCCCAATCTGTTGGTACCCAAGAAACTGTCTCACTTTAGGGCATAACTTGAACTTCAACTATAAAGCATTACACAAATGACTCCAATTTCCCTCACCCTTGCCCAGATGTTCAGTGGGGTCAAAAGTCCTATCCTTAGTTTGGCCATCTGTTAAAGCAGGTATGCCAGAATTGGGTCCAACCCCTTGCCAGACAACGAAGGCTCCTGATAAAACTTTCTCTCTCAGAGACTGTCATGCGTTTTTAAAAAAAAAAAAAGAGCCTCATGTCCCTTGAATATTTGACCAGAGGGCCAGGCTTGTGAGCAGGGTCTTTCAAGGACTGCAGAAGCACCTCTATTTTCTTAGGATTTCCATCTATGTCAGGGAGAGTCAGGAAGAATGGAAATATGAGAGAAGTATAATCAGTGTGGAGTGATATAATCAAAGTCAGTAGCAAGAAAAGAGCTAACAGCAAAAGGAAGACCAAGAAGGGACCTAACAGAGGGTGAGAAAGAAGGAAGAATAGAGGGAGGAAAAGGGAAAGAAAGAAATGAAAAGAGGGAAAGGAGGAGAAAGCAGAAAAGAAAGCAAAAGAGAAACAAAGAGGCAAAGGGAAAGGAAAAAACAAAAGAGGAAGAAGAGAAAGCGAAAGGAAAGGGAGGAAGGAAAAGAGGACTAGGGAAAGGAAGAGAGGCAAAGAGAAAAGAGAAGCAGAGAGAAAGAGATAAAGGAAGAGAGGGAAAGGAAGAGAAGAAAAGGGGAAGGAAAATGGAGAAGGAAAGAGAAAAAGAACAGGAGAGACAGAAAAAGGGAAAGATGGAAAAGGAAAGGGAAAGGGACAGAGGAAAATAGAAAGGAAGAGAGGAAGAGGGAAACGGATAAAAAAAGAGAGGGAGAGTGGGAGAAAAGGAGAGGAAAAGGAAGAAAGAGATGGTGAGGTACAGAGAAAAGAGAGAACGTGTGTGTGAGAACATCTAGTCTGAATTTTACGGACAGAGGCAGAGTTCCTTAGAAGGCAACCAGCCCTTGTGACCACTTCCACCTAAACCAATCAAACACTGCCATCTCCTGCAACAATTCTGCCATCCACCTACCTGCTCTGCATGAAGTTGGAGAATTAGTGTAGCTGTTCTCAGAACATCAAACCCAGAACCAGAGGGAAATATTTGAGAGTGCTGAAATGAAGCTAGTGTTGGGGGAGCTTGGAATCAAGCTTAGCAGAATCATTATAATCTTTCAGCAGCAGCCCCAGCCCACAAGTGCCAGACACACCCTGAGTTATAAACAAAACCCCAATGAAGGTCAAAGAAGCTGAGATGAATTTTGGCCAGGACAAGGTCTCAACGTCCTCCCTCCACAACCACAACTTACGTCCTACCGGGCCCAGATGCAGAACCGTTGCTTCAGTGCACCATTAAAAAAGTGGGCAGAGAATAAAACTGACGGCTACAATTAGATTACAATATTATTGTCTGAGCATTGGTCTAGGGATCACACTTCTTTTAGACTAAATAAATCAGGTGCTGGTTTTAGTTTCTGGAAATGGGTTTAATGTTAAACTTAAACTCAATTTAAAATGGTCAGGATAGCAGGGTGAGAGGCAGGAAGTATTTGGAACAAAAAGCAAGGGGCCCAGCAACTCCCCCCCTAGCACTAATGAATGTAGTCTATCTAGACAGAGTCAGGATGAGAAGTTAGCCAGGAGTTTGGGGAGTTGCCCCAGTTACTGCTAATCTAGATCCAAGACTTCTGTCTCTCTGCACTTATTTCCCAAACACTTTTTGGGAGTGTGGGTAAGGGAGGCGGATGATGGAAAACAGGAAGCAGGGGGGCTAATAGTCAGATTGATGCTTTTGAGCACTGGAGATCTGAACATCATTATTGATACTCTAGAATGGTAAGAAGTCACCTTCTCAGAACCTATAAAACTGCATGCTCAGGGATGTAAATCTTTAATCAAAATTCCTGATAAAAAGTTATAGCTAGAGAAGGTTTGATAGGAAGTCAGGGGCTATGCCTGCTCACAGGTTCATGTAGTTATTCTCCTTAAGTGTAATGCCACATAGTATAGTAGAGTTTTAATCAGTCAATCTTAATTAGGTATCAGAAAAGAACACTCAAAGAGGAGACTTGAGGGCTTGGAGAGGGGCAAAATGTTGTAGTGTAAAAAGCACTCTATCCTAGTCAGAAGACTTGTGTTAGAATAACAGCTCTGCCACTTAGTAGCTCTATAAATTTAGGCAAGTCACTAACCTTGATGAGCCGCAGTTTCCTCACCTGTAAAATACAGAAAATAATACCTGCCCTGCCTAACTCACAACACTGGTACAATCAAATATTAATGTATTTTGAAAATTATACATTGCTACACAAATGTAAGATAATGTTATTAAACCATTCTTTGTCCAAAGGATTTGCAGTGTCTTCTGAGAAAAATAACTCTGGGCTTCCAGAATCCAGAACCATCTTAGAGGCACCTTAGTTAGAGGCTCTCACACTTATTTTCTGTGAAAAATAACCCTGAATAGGAACTTAGGTGATGCAGGATCTAATGAATCTGAATTGAGGAATGGACCAGGAGCTAGATAAAAGAACCCCACTACCAATCCCCAACACTATTCAAAAGCTTCCTATAAATGAAGGCTTTGGGGTAGACCCTACGCACAGGAAGCTTGGGATGGTCCAGAAAAACTCCACATCCTTTCCAATTCAACTTCAATTATACGAATTCCATTTGGTTATGCAGCTTGGACTCAATCTGAATGCCAATCAAAGGTGGAAATCACATCCGAGGGGAATGTAATCGTAGGTACCATTTGGAAATTGTTGTTCAGTTGTTTTTCAGTCGTGTCTGACTCTTCATGACCCCATTTTGGGGTTTTCTTAGCAAAGATACTGAAGTGGTTTGCCATTTCTTTTTTCCAGCCCATTTTACAGATAAGGAAACTGAGGCAAACAGGGTTAAGTGACTTGCCCAGGATCACACAATTAGTAAGTGTCTGAGGTTGGATTTCAACTCAGGAAGATGAGTCTTCCTGACTCCAGACCTGGCACCCTATCCACTACACCACCTAGCTGCCCACCATTTGGAAACTATCTGGGTCCAAAGCCTAACTTTATAGTGCTTTATAGGAAGAGATCTCAACTTTATAATGAAATCTTCTCATTTATAAAATGGGAAGAGCATACCACAAAAAAGATGATCAAAAACAAGTGGCTGAATCCAGTAGCCAGTCCTTTATGTGAAATGAGCTGGAAACACTGACATAGGGACATGACCTAGAGCAACGGCTTCTCCCATTACCCCTCCCATAAATGGACCCTGCTGGGGTGGGACTGAGATACCACAGCGAAGGGGAGAAACTCATGCTGTACCTGCTCTGTGGACAAAGGGAGGGCACCAGGCTCTGGGGCTGCCAATCCGGCATCATTCACCAGCACTAAATGCGATTGAAGCGTAGGAGAAAGAGAACCACATAAAGAACATGCTCTCGGCTCACCCTGGGGCAGGTAGGCCCTTCCAGAGGCTATTTGGTCTTCCCTTGCCTCCAGGGGGAACTATTCACAAATAATCCCAGACAGACTAATTAGAAGGCAGGGGTTTGGGAGTCTCTCTTCTTAAAGACTCTACAACCTACTCTTCTACCGAACCAAGAATATACTCCCCAAATCCTTCCACAAATTCAAGACTGTTATCTGTAGAAGACATATTTCATCCTTCCTCAAAGAAATAAATGTGTTAATTGCATCCACTTCACTCAATTCCTGTAGCTTTTCTAGGGACACAAGAGAAGCAGGAGACTCTTCCAGTCCCTTTCACCTACCTATCCAGGGCTTAAAATTTAATCAGAAATAATATAATTTAGTAGGAATTGTGTCAGTGTGGTTTTTTGTTTTATTTTTTTTTTTTGAGAGGGGAGGGAGAAAGGAAGAGGAAGAAATCCAATACTGCAAATACCACAGGTTGAACAATTCCACAAGCAGCCATGCATGGTGCAAATTCACTCTGGTGAACAGATTATGGCCAAAAAAAAAAAAAGGAGGGGGGAGGAACACACACAGGTACCTAAAACTCTGCCTTCTTTTGTGAGAGCTAGAAGAAAAGGCTTCTTTGGAGAGTCTGTTGGTTAACATCAAAGAAAAGCATCATTACAGGATTACATTATCCTTGCTGACAAAGCTCAGTGTGAAGCAGGGAACATGCTAAGTGGTACTAACCTGATGTCATTTAGATATCCGTTCTGGCCAGTCTAGGTGGGGGAGGAGAAAACGGAAAATAACTTATAAGAAAACAGCATGGCACATGTGAAAAAGGGCGTCCAAAACACTTTGAATACCCAAGGTTCTCAAACCAAAGGAGCTCACCCCCACCAGTGCGATCTTAAATGAGAAAAGGGGGCAAGGGAACCCTTACCCACACACCCACTCTAACTTTGGATCTTTAATGGGAATATGTTAAGATCTGGAATGCTTCCCTAAGCATTTGTCTGATGACAGAGGTTGGTAAGGAATAGGAATGGAAAAGGGAGAAGAGGAAGGTATATCTAACTATCTTGTTTTGTCCTTGATCCCCCAGGGGCTACACAGGGCTTACTAAACTATGGATTTGGCTTCTTATGTGAGTTATGGAGGAATGGAGGAAGACTCAGGTGATTTGGAAGCACCCTCAATGGCCATTCTATCTCCATCTACTACATTGACCAAAAGGAGAGTGGCCCTGATGACACCCAGAGAGGCTTAGTGGAACAAGGGGAAGGAGGAGAAGCTACCTTCCAGCATCTAGAGAAAATCCTAAGTCAAATAAATAGCATCAAGGTGGACTCCTCTGGACATGTGATCAACAGTGGTACACAGCGGTACTAACAATGTCTAGCCACTGAGATGGGTAGGCACTGGAGAGAAACCCAAGCAGGATAGCATTCCCTTTCTAGAGCTTAGAAGCTCTGGTGAAGGCAGCAGCAGCAGCAGCAGCAGCAGCAGCAGCAGCAGCAGCAGCAGCAGCAGCAGC